CATACTGTGGGTAAATGTTTGACATTATTGATACATGCATAGCTCTAACAGACAACAGGTCAATGTTCAGTTGAGAGATGTCTTGTCTGATACGAGTCCCCCCAATGAGCTCATCTAAGTTGAAGCCGTATTGCAATATTTTTTTAATTAGTTTTTTAAATTTTTTTTATTTATGTTTCCAGAACACTAAGAGGCTTATACATTTACATCGACCCCTTTTACTTTAATTTTTTTTTTCCCAACAAAAATCGCTGACAGAAAAGAGAAGTAGAGCACAGGGATCTTACACATACAAATAGATATCGAATACATTTTTATAGAAGCCATTAAAAATGAACACCACGATAAAGAACTAACATCTTAGCATTGAAGTAAACACAGGATTTTTTGAACTCAAAACTGATGACGAAGGAAAAAAAAACAGCACGTGAAAAGGGTAGTGTGTCTGACGTCTATCACACAAAGTAGCCTACATTCTATAGCGACGGTGACATAGTAGGTACGCTTATAACATACCACTTTCTTTTTATTTTTAAATAAATTTAAAAAAAAAAAAGAATTCACAAATCAATTTTGATATCACAACATAAATGTGTTAAGTCTTATGTTAAACATTGCGTACTTGCAAATTAATTGATTAACATACCACTTTCTTTTTATTTTTAAATAAATTTAAGAAAAAAAAAAAAGAATTCACAAATCAATTTTTATATCACAACATAAATGTGTTAAGTCTTATGTTAAACATTGCGTACTTGCAAATTAATTGAGGAGACCCTCCCATACGCCAGACCTGCCTAAACAAAATAAGTCTGGACAGACATACGTTGGCCATGGATATTTTTTGTCTTGTTTCAAGTTGAATGATTTCAAAAAAAATATATATAACGTACGTTACAAGAGTTATAACATCCTATCCCTTAAAACAAAATCTTAAGGTCAGACCAAACTTTAACCCCTGAAATCCAACGTTAATAATTGATTTTTGCTAAATCATATTATTATTTTTTTTTTTGAATTGTGCAATCTTTTGTAATTTATTTTTATACTTTTATTGTTGGTCTGTGTTTAAAAATGAACACGATGTGTTAAAAAAAAATGTGGTTTTCCTTAATGTGAACCTCTCTGGAATAATTACAAATATTCGGCCACAAAGATTGGAAAAGATATTTGACAAAAGATATGGGACGAGGAAAGAGATAATAAATGGGACAATAGGTGTGGCAAGAGATGGGACAAGCGATGGGATAAGAGATGGGACAAGAGGTGTGGCAAGAGATGGGACAAGCGATGGGATAAGAGATGGGACAAGAGGTGTGGCAAGAGATGGGACAAGCGATGGGATAAGAGATGGGACAAGAGGTGTGGCAAGAGATCGGACAAGCGATGGGATAAGAGATGGGACAAGAGATGTGGCAAGAGATGGGACAAGAGATGGGACAAGAGCAGCATGGGTGCACCAAGTCAAACTGTATTATTTCAAACACACCCACACAACTGAACAGTGAGCGCTTTGACACACGCCACACGGAACGCCGAAAAGAGTTACGTTTTTTTTCATAGCTCGTTTGAAGAATTAATCATGAATATCAACAAAAAAAATATTCATTCTTTTAATCCGTAGTGTTCACAATAAAACGATTATGATGATTATTCCGTCTCTGTTTGGTAACGGCGTCAATATCTTCACTCGACTATGAACTGCGTCATACGACACTTCCGTCAACGTCAATATCCGGAAACCTGTTTACCAAGCCCAAAAAAACCAAAAACAATCAGAATAATCTAGGTCATGTGCTTCACCTTAATGCTTGATTGTGAAACTTAATCCTTCAAAGGTTCTCAGTCATTACTGTTATTTATTAATTTTACATAATTTAAAAAAAAAAAAACTTTTAAAATAATCATATAAGTAAAATAGAGGGGTTTGAAGTGTCCAAAGAAAATTGACTGTTATGTCAAAATGTTTAGGGGGGGGGGGCGGAGGAGTTTTGATAAATGCCATTAAAAATTACTTCACCATAAATGGGCTGACTTTCAAGGAAGCGTGATATTTTCTTAGAGATTCGCTATGTACACATTTCCAAAAAAAAGTGATGTTTACTGCTTAAAATACGAATCAATACAAGTTGTACTTTAAGGATGAATCATGGAGATTAACGTTAATCTTTAACAACACAAACGGAAATAAAATGTGTTTTCAACAAATTTAGATTGATTTTTGATGAGTGTTCATAATCTAGGATAAAGAAAATGTCTTTACCATTTGAAACCTTGTTTTGTTGTCTTGGTCAGATTTTAAAAAAATAAATACTTTAAAAAAAAAACATTTGACTAAATCTTGGAATTTAATTAACTCACATACATTCTTATTTCAATTTTATTGTATTAAAGAGACATTTCTGCCATAGATTATCTCTTGTAAAGCTGATTCAAATCTCTTCACCCGAGCAAAACTTTTGTTTGTTTTTTGACCAATGAATTTAAAAGTTAAAAACTTTATGTTAGCCTATCATGAAATGAGATCTGAATATTTAAATATATAAAATTAGAAGATTTACAGTACTAATCTACCTGTACATCCTGCCCTGGGCAGACCTTATAGGATTTGTTCGAGGCATTAAATTTAATCCTAATTTTTTTTAAGTAAAAAAAACCAACAGATGAGGACAGGTGTGCTATAAAAGGAGCTAACCCTCACAGGTAGCCTAACCCTCACAGGTAGCCTAACCCTCACAGGTAGCTTGTAACATTTCATTGATGAGGATAGTACGTGTGTTACATTATAACAGTGTATAACAATGACGAGGCGCCTGCTGCTCATTGGAGCTGTGGTAAGTTCAAGTCAATATTCTTTTGCTTCTTCTTTTTTTTTTTTTTTTTTTTAACTTTATAGTACGTGTGTTACATTATAACAGTGTATAACAATGACGAGGCGCCTGCTGCTCATTGGAGCTGTGGTAAGTTCAAGTCAATATTCTTTTGCTTCTTCTTTTTTTTTTTTTTTTTTATAACTTTAGAATGTTATGCTTTGGCTCATCGTTAATGGAGACAGAAAACAAATAACATCCCGAAATTATTATAACAGTGTGAGGTTTTGTTTTCGTAACAACCTAAGTATTTCTACTGAATTAGTTTCAAAAAATTTGAAAATAACTAGAATTTTTACAATATTTTTAAAGCACTCATTTAAAAGGAGATTTTTTTTTCGATAACTAAAACTTAAGAGATTCAGCCTGGTCCGACTGGTTTCTTCTTCTTCTTCTATACCTTAAAGGCCCACAATCAATTTATTGATCATTTTGGCTCCTATGCATGTAGATGTGATTTGCAATGTTTCCGTGCCTGGTTTAAATGGAGCTTCTTTCTAATCTCATTGTCTTGTGCTCCGTTCGGTACTTTTCTAATGGGCTTCATCAGAATTGTTGCACTGAATCAAACATATACGATGCTTTAATAAATATATATATTTTTTTTTTGGTGTACAGATTCTGACATTCGGTTACCAATCTCACGTACGTAAAAATTCAAATTTTTATTTGTTTAGTTCTTGATAAAATTGGTATATTTCGTTTCGGTTATAAATTTGTTTCAACTGGTTACATAAATAATTACCACTAAATAAATGTTACGGCAATTAATTTATTTTTTAAAGTTTAATTAGTGTTCGCATTGCCTTAAAACAAACTAATTAAAATATGCTCGTATATTATGTGCTCATATGTATGCTAATATTATGTTCATATTCATATTCATATTTATTATCATATGTACGCACTTATTTTTGTTAATATTTTTAATCATTTTCCATAATCTTATTTATAATCATTTTTATTAACTTAATAATAATCATTTTTATAATCATATTTGTACTCATATTCCTTCAGGCACAAAGACGTGAGTAAATATTTTTTTTTTTAAATCAATATTTTAAATCCTGTCACTAACTTTCTAACATAATTATATAATCAATTTTAATCCGACTCCATCGTTGACTTACGCAACAAACACGATTATTCTGTAACGACTATTTACAAATGGCATAACCGTAACCCATACCAGTTGTAAGACTTTAGCATGATAATCGGGTTTGTTGTAATACACAAATTATTTTTGTAAAAACTTGTTGTATTTTTCCTTTATGTATTGGGCGGTGGATGATGCTATTAATTCTAAATTAACCATTTCTTGCTGGTGAATGACCATTTCCTGTCACGGTAGCGATGAACATCCTCTTTGCTTACGACGAGTTTTGGTGATCAATGTATTTTAGAAGTCTCGCTTCACCCATCAGTCATATTTTTTGTGTCACCACATAATGGCTCGAACCAAAGACAATTTCGTCTGTTTTTAAAGCTACTCGATGAAAGCCGCCCAAAAGATGAGCGGCGACAATGCGTGGACTTGCCATCGAGTAAACTCACGTGACGAAACAGGCATTCAGCTAACAGTTCACTAAGAATCCCAATCGGTGCAAAATCTGTGAAGGATTCTTTCGCGGGCCTATCTAAAACCTCGTTATAGCCGCACATTACCTACCTATCGAGTTATTACCTGCTAAAGGTCTATCTCAAGCACTTAAGCCCTTCATAAGAGTCCCAATTGGTGCTAACTTCTGGGAACGTTGAATTTTGTTGCCCTATCTAACACATTCTTACAGAAGCACATGCTTACCCAGCTAATTACTGAGATAAGTCTTGCTCACGCAATTAATTAATTTTGTATAGGTGCAATTTACTGAAAGGCTCAAATAGTATTAAAAAAATATGTATATATTATTTTCTTAAAATTTCCAATCAACTTATTGTCTATAACCAAAAACAAATGTGGATCATTTGGATTTTTGCCATGACCTGTAACAGTAGGACAAAACCGTTACGCTAACCAAAAATGATGGCTAGTTTGTATTTTTTGTCTAGACCCGTAGCAGTAGGTAGCAACCCTTGTGCTATCAATGATGGATAATTTAATTATTTTTTTTTTGTCTTGACCTTTTACAGTAGGTAACAACCCTTGTGCACGTGTCCGCTGCTTAAACGGTGGCACTTGTAGGGCATCAGGTTATTCAGCAGAGTGCCGGTGCCCCGAAAGTTTAACAGGAGACCGGTGTCAATTTAAAACTTGGCCTAGTAAGTTCACTCAGGTTAAAACATGTAATAGTAGACTCACTTGTCACCATTTTGCTCCGTATATTTAAGCACGTTTTATGGTGAGCGGAAGAATAGCATGTGATGAATGAATTCCAAAACTGAACTTATCTGGGTTGCGTCTAATATTAAAATTTTAACTTAAAAATCATATTTTTTTAAAAAAATTGTTGTTGTTGTAAACGTATCAACTAAAAAAAATCAGTGATTGATTACTTTATAGTAGATTTTCAAACGTGTTCCATTTGCATACTTTAAAACTATAATTGCGTTGATGAAACAGATGTTAATTTTTTTTTTTTTTTACATAAAACATTAACATTGATATTTAATATTTAGTGAGCTTTGATTCCTTTTGCACAAATAATCCTGACCCTAACCCCCCCCCCTCCTTTTTTTTCATTCCTGCATTACTTTGCACTGTTGTGAGAATGTCTTTAACAGCTAGCACTAACCTTCGGCTCATGCTCGCTACAAGCTTCATTTTCTAAAACATTGTATGCTCAAGTTTTTACGATTGCTACGTCCATTTAGATTCAGTGAATTCAACTGACTGATTCGATATGTTAGTTAAACGTCTCGCCACAAGCAATGTTTTTTTTTGTTTGTTTTTTTGTCACCGCACTCCATTTTATAATGTAACGCCCTGGTGACCCGGTTTTGCACATACGTTATGGTAACAACTCTGATTTATATGGTTGCCTTGGCTACTGACCAGCTCACCCTTATCGTCCCGTCCCCAGTAAGCCGAGACCCGTGCCGTAACTTTGTATGCCAGAATGGAGGAGCGTGCACTGCCCCCGCTGATGCCCCATCGTGCATCTGTGCCCCGGGCTTTTTCGGCACCAACTGTGAATGTAAGATTTATGTATCTGTACCAATGAACTTTATTACGATATCGAGGTCATGAATCGGGGTTTTTTTTTTGTTTTTTTTACACTGAATTTATCTTAACACTTGTTTAAGTAAAATTACATATTTAACGATACATAGTTTATGATAAATACACTTTTAGGTTTATGATGAATACACTTTTAGGTTTATGATGAATACACTTTTAGGTTTATGATGAATACACTTTTAGGTTTATGATGAATACACTTTTAGGTTTATGATAAATACACTTTTAGGTTTGTGATGAATACACTTTTAGGTTTGTGATGAATACACTTTTAGGTTTATGATGAATACACTTTTAGGTTTATGATGAATACACTTTTAGGTTTATGATGAATACACTTTTAGGTTTATGATGAATACACTTTTAGGTTTATGATGAATACACTTTTAGGTTTATGATGAATACACTTTTAGGTTTATGATGAATACACTTTTAGGTTTGTGATGAATACACTTTTAGGTTTATGATGAATACACCTTTAGGTTTATGATGAATACACTTTTAGGTTTATGATGAATACACTTTTAGGTTTATGATGAATACACTTTTAGGTTTATGATGAATACACTTTTAGGTTTATGATGAATACACTTTTAGGTTTATGATGAACACACTTTTAGGTTTATGATGAATACACTTTTAGGTTTATGATGAATACACTTTTAGGTTTATGATGAATACACTTTTAGGTTTGTGATGAATACACTTTTAGGTTTATGATGAATACACTTTTAGGTTTATGATGAATACACTTTTAGGTTTATGATGAATACACTTTTAGGTTTATGATGAATACACTTTTAGTTTTATGATGAATACACTTTTAGGTTTATGATGAATACACCTTTAGGTTTATGATGAATACACTTTTAGGTTTGTGATGAATACACTTTTAGGTTTGTGATGAATACCCTTTTAGGTTTTTGATGAATACACTTTTAGGTTTATGATGAATACACTTTTAGGTTTATGATGAATACACTTTTAGGTTTGTGATGAATACACTTTTAGGTTTATGATGAATACACTTTTAGGTTTGTGATGAATACACTTTTAGGTTTATGATGAATACACTTTTAGGTTTATGATGAATACACTTTTAGGTTTATGATGAATACACTTTTAGGTTTATGATGAATACACTTTTAGGTTTATGATGAATACACTTTTAGATTTATGATGAATACATTTTTAGTTAAGTAATATCGTAACGGGCCATTTAACTTGTAACTCGAATTAAGGCTCCTAGAATTCATATTATATTTTTAAAATTCCAATTTTAGCAAATAACAAGGGGGAAAAAATGGGAGAGGGGGGGGGCATTTTACACATCAGTTCTACTGCCTATTGTTCCTGTATTTTAAAAAAATGTTCACCATACACCAAAAATATAATAAGGGTTCACCGTATCTCAAAACAGGTAATTAGGGTTCAAAATATCTCAAATGTAATAAGGGTTCCCCTGATCTCAAAAAAAGGTAATCAGGGTTCAAAATATCTCAAATGTAATAAGGGTTCACCGTATCTCAAAAAATGGTAATCAGGGTTCCAAATATCTCAAATGTAATAAGGGTTCACCGTATCTCAAAAAATGGTAATCAGGGTTCAAAATATCTCAAATGTAATAAGGGTTCACCGTATCTCAAAAAATGGTAATCAGGGTTCAAAATATCTCAAATGTAATAAGGGTTCACCGTATCTCAAAAAATGGTAATCAGGGTTCAAAATATCTCTAATGTAATAAGGGTTCACCGTATCTCAAAAAAAAAAAAAAACAACCTAAACACAGCTCACCATGTTTCAAAAGATGAAAATGATAGTGGATACTTGGAACAGTTTCGCTGCTGAACCTTCGAACGTTTTCATTTTAGTTATGATCTAAGGACACAGTTTGTAAAGCTATATCGCACTTTATTTGTATTCTAGGGACGCAGTCTGTAAAGCTCTAACGGGCTGTTTATTTGATGACTCCACCGCTGACCTTTCAAATGCCAACCATAACACTCCCGCGCGTTTATTATTTTTTTCCCATTCAGTTAACAGAGATCCTTGCTTCAACTTTAAATGTCAAAACGGTGGCAGGTGCACGGCCCCAGCAGACGCCCCTTACTGTGAGTGCCCAAGTGGTTTCACTGGGGACAAATGTGAGACGAGAATCACCGGCGGAGGCTCCGGGCAGTGTCCAGTAAGTTGGGACTTTTTAAAAAAAAACTAAATATTAGACTATATTGATTTATTTTATTTTATTTTTTTTAAATATTGTCATTTTTTTATTTTTTTTATTAGTGAGATGGATGGATTGTTTCTTCTATATCATATTGATTTATTGGTTTCTTATGGATTTATTTTTATTCTTCTAAATATCATATTGATTTATTGGTTGTTTTTCAGATCCATTTTTTTTCTCAATATCATATATAAATTTATTGGTTGTTTTATAGATTTATTTTTTTTTCTTCTAAATATCATATTGATTTATTGGTTGTTTGCAGATTTATTATTTTTCTGAACGTGCATTACAAGTTGATTCGTTTTTAACTGTATTATTTTACATACTTAGTTTAAGGACAGTGGGTGTGACAAAACTCGCTAATGCTCACAGAGCACACTGTTTACTAAAGCTTACTATTCAACTCACAGAGCACGCTGTTTACTAAAGCTTACTATTCAACTCACAGAGCACGCTGTTTACTAAAGCTTACTATTCAACTCACAGAGCACGCTGTTACCTAAAGCTTACTATTCAAAACATAGGTTTAAAAAAAATATATTATTTTCTTTAATTATTAAGTTAACATTGGTTTTAATTTTGAATTTGTGCGAGTAAAAACGAGGACGGTGGCATACTCCTACACTATCGCGGGGTCAATCATGTTTCGCATTAATAGATACACATGTCATTATTTGGTATCAATAGAAGACCAACGAGGACTCTGTCGGACTATGTCGTGGTGGTACCTTCTGCTCCAGCGACTCTACTTGTTCTAAAGGACAGAGATGTTGCCCCAATGCTTGCGGCAGGAAAATCTGTACAAGAGTCAATCCTGGTGAGCCTTGTAGACTATGATCTTGCCATGGTTATCTGCTGGATTGTGAGCAGGCGTTGTTTAATGGGGGGTAAGGGGGCGGGGGGGGGGCTTAGCTCCACCCCCAGCTACGTTCGGGAAACTTGTGGCTCTGCTCCGAGAAAATTAAAGAAAATTGGGGGGTTGGGGTGGGTGGGGGGGTGCAAAGTGCTTTAAGGAATGTATTTATTATTGCCACATTATTGTAATGTTTTAGCAAGGAAATAGAAATCTATGTATCAGAAACAGGGCTTTAGAAGAGTGTGGCTACACAGCTGGTGTAAGAGTGGTGGTGGTATAGATGTAAAGATTGGGAAAAAACACTGCAGGTATATAGTGTGGGGAAACATAGCTGTAAAAGGAATGTATTTATTATTGCCACATTATTGTAATGTATTAGCAAGGAAATAGAAATCTATGTATCAGAAACATGGTTTTAGAAGAGTGTGGCTACACAGCTGGTGTAAGAGTGGTGGTAGTATAGATGTAAAGATTGGGAAAAAACACTGCAGGTATATAGTGTGGGGAAACATAGCTGTAAAAGTGTGGGGCAACAGAGCTGACCGGCGAGTTGGGCAACAGGGCTGACCGGAGAGTTGAGCAACACGGCTGGTAGGAGAGTGAAGAAACATAGCCCTAAAAAATGGATCAAAATAGCTGATCGAAGAGTGGGACAGCATTGCTGTTAACCGGACGTGGCCTCAATTTTAATAAAGTTTTGATTATAAACGTCGAATACTTTTTCTAAAAAAAAATTAATACATTTTAAAAATAAAATTTGGAGCTCGGAAAATTTTACTATCTCCATCTCCGGACAAACAGATCCTGCTCCAGAGCTCCGAGATTCATTATAAATCCCTGGTGGTTGTATTTAAAGATAACGTGATGGCATGCGTGAATTGACACCACGTGTCATCGTTTGACATGCCAACTGATGATCGCCATAATTTTTGTAATCTTATTCGGAGTTTTGGCTTCAAAATGTGCATTTAAATGTATACTAAATGGATGCTAAATGTATACTGAATGCTTTAATGATTCAACCGACTCTTTTATCTCCAGTCATCGTAGACCCGTGCCGTGACTTTGTATGCCAGAATGGAGGATCGTGCACTGCCCCCGCTGATGCCCCATCATGCATCTGTGCCCCGGGCTTTTTCGGCACAAACTGTGAATGTAAGATTTATGTATCTGTACCAATGAACACCGTTACGACATCGATCTCATCAATCGTGTTGTTTAAATGATATATATGAAATTGATATGACAATGAAATTGATACGATAATGAAATTGATATCATAATAATAATTTGATCTTGACAATTTAGATACTTTAACATTTCCGCAGCTTTTCTTTTTTTTAAACCATTGTACTTCAATTGATGTCACAGGGACAAAGTTCCTATAGTTCGCATCCACCATTGATCGTATAACTTCATCTCTGAACGAACCTGTCCGTAGCCAACCATAACACTCCCGCGCGTTTATTATTTTCCCATTCAGTTAACAGAGATCCTTGCTTCAACTTTAAATGTCAAAACGGTGGCAGGTGCACGGCCCCAGCAGACGCCCCTTACTGTGAGTGCCCAAGTGGTTTCACTGGGAACAAATGTGAGACGAGAATCACCGGTGGAGGCTCCGGCCAGTGTCCAGTAAGTTGGAACACTTTGTTGGAAAAAAAAAATCATTTCGATTTATTAGGCATTATCTGAATATAATTGTGTCCGGTGTTCATTACACCTTGATCCGTGTTTTAACTGCATCTTTACATTCTTTAAAAGTCCGTTACTCGAATCCAAAATGTGTCAAGTAACTTAGTAGACGGGAAGTTAACACATAGCCGCAGCCATTGTTTTGGGTGGTTACTTCCATAATTACACACATTATACGCACCATTTAAAATGTACTTTAAAAAAAAACTGGAATTTCTTTGAGTTTACATTCGTTTGAATTAGGCTTTATATGAATTCCACGAAGGAATACGTAGAATCATTCGCTATGGAAGGGCCAATCATTTTTCACCTTTATAGATAAACTTTTCATTTTCTTATTTTTTTTTAAAAAACAGATCATTTATGAAGACACCGTTGGAGTGTGTGGCGGCAAAATGTGCTCCAGAGACTCTGAATGCGCTAAAATTACAGGAGCGAAATGCTGCGCCAGCGCCTGTGGCGGGAAACTCTGTACCGTGGTCAATGCCGGTTAGCTTTATAGACTTTGATCTTGTGATGGTCAGCTATTCTAGGAGCTAACATCTAGTCATCATTGCATAATGTGGAAGATTTTTTTTTTGTACCCTTTCAGTTTTTAAATTTTATGTAGAAGATTTTTAGTTCAACCTATATTTTTTAAATATATATTTTTTTTAAAAATTGGTTTCTTTCGTAAATTTGTGTTTTCACTTTACTATGTGTTTTCCCCAACACATACATTTAGTTTATCTACATTTATATCTTTGTTTCGTATTATTTATTTCAAAAAAAAAATATATTTATGTACTCATTGTACAAATGTTCCATTCAATTTATGAACTTTGCGGTTTTCAACTTTAAATAACACGTCATTAAAATAACATTGGTTTAAAAATCAAACGTTAAAGATTATGAGAAAGGAACATGGCTTTAATTTAATATTGTCATCAATAGTTTTTGGAGTTTTCTTTAAAAAAGTAATATTTAGTTTTTAATAGTTAAAAGTAGCAAAAAAATTTTGTTTAATGAATTACATGATTGGTAGACATCTCTATCTAATGATAATAAAACGAACTGTACCTAGGGTTGGGTACCGCGCTAAATATAAAAACACGAATAATAATAATAATTTTCGACCGGCATAGTTATATATTCTATAATATTATTAACTGCTGGATTTTTAGCAACTTTTTCTTAGGGGTTGGGGGCTCGGCTCGACTCTAGCTATGTTCGTGAAACATTTGGCTCCGCGCCAAGCTTCTAGCAAATTAAAGAAAAAAGTATGTGGGTGGGGGGGGGGGAGTACTGCCAAGTACTTAAAGGCATGTATTTATTATTGTCACATTATTTTTATCTATTAGCAAGGAAATATAAGTCTATGTACCAGAAACATGGCAATAGAAAAGTTGGCAACAATACTGGTATAAGAGTGGTGACAGTATAGATGTAAAGATTGGGAAAAACATTGCAGGTATAAAGTGTGGGGAAACATAGCTGTGAAAGAATGGGGCAACTGGGCTGACAGAAGAGTGAAGAATCATAGCTCTAAAATATATGGAGCAACATAGCTGGGTGAAAGAGTGAGACGGCATTGCTGTAACCGGACGGGACATCAATTTTATTAAAGTTTTATAAAGTCAAATATTTTTGCTTAAAAATAATCAAAAATAAAATTTGGAGCTCGGAACATTATACTAGCTACATCTCCGAACAAACAGATCCTGCCCCAGAGCTCCGAGATCCAATCTAAATCCCTGGTCGGTTGGATTTAAAGCTAACGTGATGTCATGCGTGAATTGACACCACGTGTCATCGTTTGACATGCCAACTGATGATCGCCATAATTTCTGTAACCTTATTCGGAGTTTTGGCTTCAAAATGTGTATTTAAATGTATACTAAATGGATGCTAAATGTATACTGAAGGCTTTAATAATTCAACCGACTCTTTTATCTCCAGTCATCGTAGACCCGTGCCGTGACTTTGTATGCCAGAATGGAGGATCGTGCACTGCCCCCGCTGATGCCCCATCATGCATCTGTGCCCCGGGCTTTTTCGGCACAAACTGTGAATGTAAGATTTATGTATCTGTACCAATGAACACCGTTACGACATCGATCTCATCAATCGTGTTGTTTAAATGATATATATGAAATTGATATGACAATGAAATTGATACGATAATGAAATTGATATCATAATAATAATTTGATCTTGACAATTTAGATACTTTAACATTTCCGCAGCTTTTCTTTTTTTTAAACCATTGTACTTCAATTGATGTCACAGGGACAAAGTTCCTATAGTTCGCATCCACCATTGATCGTATAACTTCATCTCTGAACGAACCTGTCCGTAGCCAACCATAACACTCCCGCGCGTTTATTATTTTCCCATTCAGTTAACAGAGATCCTTGCTTCAACTTTAAATGTCAAAACGGTGGCAGGTGCACGGCCCCAGCAGACGCCCCTTACTGTGAGTGTCCAAGGGGATTCACTGGGAACAAATGTGAGACTAAAATCACCGGTGGAGGCTCCGGCCAGTGTCCAGTAAGTTGGAACACGTTGTTTGAAAAAAAAAAATCATTTCGATTTATTAGGCATTATCTGAATATAATTGTGTCCGGTGTTCATTACACCTTGATCAGTGTTTTAACTGCATCTTTACATTCTTTAAAAGTCCGTTACTCGAATCCAAAATGTGTCAAGTAACTTTAGTAGACGGGAAGTTAACACATAGCCGCAGCCATTGTTCCATGACTAATTACACAAATAATGCGCACCATTTAAAATGTACGTTAAAAAAAAAAAAGTATTTTCTTTGAGTTCATATTCGTTTGAATTTGACTTTATATGAATTCCACGAAGGAATACGTAGAATCATTCGCTATGGTAGGGCCAATCATGTTTCACCTTTATAAAGAAATTTTTCATTTTATTTTATTTTTTTAAAACAGATCATTTATGAAGACACCGTTGGAGTGTGTGGCGGCAAAATGTGCTCCAGAGACTCGGAATGCGCTAACATGACAGGAGCGAAATGCTGCGCCAGCGCCTGCGGAGGGAAACTCTGTACCGTGGTCAATGCCGGTTAGCTTTATAGAATTTGATTATGTGATGGTCAGCTATTCTAGCCCATTTAATACGTTTCGCCGCAGTGTGCGTCACCGCGATTTCGGCAGAGTACGTTTAGCCACTCTCTGCGTCACCACTGGTTTGTTTCATTTTATTAGTATTCCAACTTTTCCATTCAACTATTTTATTATATAGCTTATCACTTTTTTATTCAGAAGAGTTCCACTTCCTTTGTGTTGAATTTCAAACCGAATAACCCACGTTTAGTGTATTTTGTGCTCGTTTATTTCACTTAAAAATTTGTAAACAAAACACAGCTGATTGAAATGGCTGCATCGAATAACACTGCTAGTTCTAATCGACCAGGATTTCGATCTATGACTGCCGATGAGGCAAGTAAATTGATTTGCTTAGATGATTCAAGTTCAAATGAAGATAAACTGACAACAGTGATAGTGATTACGAAAATTTATTATTTGAGGAAACTATAAACTAGTGATGAGGAATATATTCCGACTACAAAGAGCCAAAAAGTATCCATTGGAAAAGGAAAAAAAAAATCAACACCAACTAGGCCTAGTTCTACTAATTCTGTGGCTTCAACTTCAAAGCATAATTCATCTTCATCTAAAACTAGTCAATCTACTAGTTCAAATTATTTCCCTACTGAGACAGAGTGGTCCGAAGTCCTAACAGGACAAACTGAAAACAATTTCCGATTTCATCCCCTTAGAAATCCTGGAGTTTGCCCTAAACTTCAAAACATTGATAATGTTAAAGATTACATTGTTGAATCTATAAATGCCTATGCTAAAAAGAAAGTTCACATGAACACACCTGCACTTAGACGCTCTGTCTTTAGTCGATGGGTGGACATATCAAGGCAGGAGCTAGACAAATTTATTGCTGTTCTCATCTACATGGGGATGTATAAAAGGCCAGCTATTCTGATTATTGGTCTATGTCTGCTGAATCCTATACTCCATGGATACACCATGTATTTAACAGACAGAGATTTCAGGACATCTATCACTCCATGCTACACTGTGGCGATGAAAATTCCGAAGGGAAAGATAAAATTGAACCATTTATGAACATACTCTTGAATAAGTTTAGAAGTGCATTCTACCCTTTTCAGGAACTTAGCATAGATGAAATGGTAATAGGCTTCAAGGGCAGATGGCAATTCAAACAATATAATGCCACTAAGCCTAGAAAATATCATATCAAGACGTTTGGCCTGTGTGATTCCTCAACGGGTTATGTTGTTGATATTTTGACCTATTTTGGGGCCAATACCTCCTATAACCCAGAAACAGGTTGTTGACTACCTTCTTGCCAAAAACCAATACTACACAGGAACACTGAATATCAACCGCATTGGATTTCCACTAGACATAAAATCTTTATCTTTACAACAAAAAGAGATGAAGTGGTATATAAACCAAAACAAGAGCATGCTCTGTGTTGCTTTCAGGGACAAAAAGGCAAAAAAAAAAGTCAAATTGGTGTCCACAGATGCTAGGGTACAAGTTACCGAAACAAAAAAAAATGGATAAACCGGAAATGATAGACATTTATAATCACAAAATGAATGGCTGCGATAAGCTAGACCGAAAAGTAACATATTACTGTGTTTATGAGCGAAAAACATTGAAATGGTGGGAAAAGATTTTTTTCTGGCTGTTAGAAATTACACAGGTGAACTCGTACATTTTGTTTTTACTCTGTCAAGCAGCAGATGCAAACAAAGTAAAAATGAGTCTAAAACAGTATAAACTTATGTTGATGCGTCAGCTAACAGAGGAAGTAGCATTAAATCAAGTACTAAAAGCACCAGGAAAGGGTCCAGAGACCGGATGCTTCGAAAAGTCTAATGATGCTCAGCACATTGTTGATTATCATGAAAGGGGCCGATCTTGTGCATATTGCTCAACTGCAACAAAGCGAGTACGCACACATTTCTATTGTACTGGGTGTGAAGCCAAACCCCATCTCCATCCTAAAGGATGCTTCAAGGCCTTTCATTTAAAATAACAGCTTCATTTGTGTATATATTTAGTAAATATGTGTAAATATTTGAGTATAACTATTTTTATTGTTGAATTTTTGAAAAAAAAAATTTAACACGTGTCTTGGGAAAGAAATTCATAACTTTACAATTTCTGGAGCTACTGCAATGAAACTTTCCAGTTGTTTTGGATGTATCACAAGACTCATTTAAAAAAAATATGAACTTGATTGGATTATTGTTATCTGATTTCTGAGCTGGTGAGTAAAGCAAAACCAAATAAATTTTAAATAATTTTTTACATAAACCTGCAATAATACCCCCAAAAATTTTCTTTGGGTATTTCTTTATCACTTTTTTATACTAGAAACATATTCCTTTTTCAATTACCTACATTTGGATATGCAGCATGATATAATTTTGATAAATAACAAAACAGAGCTTTTCAGTTTAAAATCATCAGGTCAAATAGAATTTTAGTCCCAAAATTTTACTGCGTTCCCTTACAAAAATTGTGACGTATTGAATGGGCTAGGAGCTAATATCTAGTCATCATTGCATAATGTGAAGGATTTTTTTTTTACCCTTTCAGTTATTTTAATTTTATGTTGAAGATTTTTAGTTCAACCTATATTTTTTAAATATATTTTTTTTTTAAAATGATGGTTTCCTTTCGTATATTATGTTTTCACTTTACTATGTGTTTTCCCCAACACATACATTTAGTTTATCTACATTCATATCTTTGTTTCGTATTATTTATTTTAAAAAAAATATATTTATGTACTCATTTTAAAAATTTTCCATTCAATTTATGAACTTTGCGGTTTTCAACTTTAAATAACACGTCATTAAAATAACATTGGTTTAAAAATCAAACGTTAAAGATGATGAGAAAGGAACATGGCTTTAATTTAATATTGTCATCAATAGTTTTTGGACTTTTCTTTAAAAAAGTATTTTTTTTTTTTTAATAGTTAATAGTAGAAAAAAACACTTTTTAAATGAATTTCATGATCTCTATCTAATGATAATAAAACAAACTGTACCTAGGCTTGGGTACATCGCTATATATAAAACCACTAATAATAATAATACTTTTCGACCGGCATAGTTATATATTTTATAATATTGTTTATCAAAATAAGAAGTCATGCGTATCTCTGATGTAAAAACAATGTTAAATAAATCGGTTTGACTCTCAACTAATTTTGTTTTCAACCTTTTCTTTTGTAACACTTGTGGTGAACGGTCATTTTAAGTCCTTTCTTTGTTTCAACATTTCTTGTTACATTTGTATATCATAATTATTTTTTTAAAGGTTACTCATGTCTTTTAAAATAACTTCAGAGCTTGATAAAATTGCTCACTAGGAAAGGCTCTATGCAGGGGCGTCATTTGGGTAGGACAGTTGGGGGCATTTGGCCCCCATGAATTTTCAGGTTTTATTTAAAGTGCTATGTACTTTGGCGCCTCCAGTAATAAATCAACAAGGCGGTCAGGTTTTTTTTTTGCGGTCAGTTTTTTTTTTTTTTTTTGCAACCCCCCCCCCCCCCCCTGAATAACCCCGAAATGACAGCCCTGGCTCTATGGCTCCAGGTAAAAGGTTATTGCATAAGCCCAATGACTGCAATAGAGCTTGTTAAATAGCTCACCAGCAAAGGCTCTATAGCTCCAGGTAAGAGGTGATTCTACAAACACATTGACTGTAATGGAACTTGATAAAAAAGCTCACCAGGATAAGCCCTATGGCTCCAGGTAAGAGGTGATTTCACAAACACATTGACTGTAATGGAACTTCATAAAAAAGCTCACCAGCAAAGGCTCTATGGCTCCAGGTAAGAGATGATTCTACAAACACATTGACTGTAATGGAACCTGATAAAATAGCTCACCAGGATAGGCCCTATGGCTCCAGGTAAGAGGTGATTCTATAAATCTAGTATTTTATGATTATTTTTTTTTTCAGTTAGATATAAAACTACTCTGATTGTTATACGGTTTTGTAAATCATGATTTGTAGCCTCAGACATGTCATAAGCTATGTTCCTCACTACAAAACACATAAACATATCCACACAACGATCCCACACTTGTACTTGTAAATATGCATTTTTTAAAGCAATATTATTCATTAAAATTTCTCAAAACAAAGTCATGGTTCCTGGATATTTTGTAATCTGAATACAGTCTAGGACTCTAAAATAGAGTCTTCTCTTCTATGGAACAGAATCGAAAGTGTCCATATCCAATTTGACAGTGTTCCATTGTAGAAACTAATCATAAATACATTTTGACACAGAATGTCATGAGTGGCACTTCTGAATACTGGTACAAAAACAAAATTTGTTTAAAAATATATATATTACTGTATGAGTCCTACCCAGTTGAACATGTCTGCATTACTTAATGCTGGAATAACATTGATGGCTTGTATTTTAGTAACAGAAGAGCTATATCTATATATCAATGGGTGAGGTAAAAATGTCTCTAAAGCTATGTTACATAACCCATCTATTTAACCACTTTTTCATGAAATACCTCTAGTGGTAACTGGTTCTCACATAAACTGGTAGCTTGTCTTTTCTTTTAGGTGGTCATTTTTTAAAATTTTCTCCTCCAAATGTTTTGACAATAATTTCCATAAAAATAATATCCAATATTTTTTAAATTTGTTTAAAAGCATCAGTTTTATATTTTAATATTAAAGAAATTTTTTTTTTAAGCATGTAACTTGTTTGTTTTTCTCTATGTTCATTAGAACCAGAAGACTTGATCACCTTGTGTTCATTAATAGACTGTACACCAGACAGAATCTGTAGGGCCACCTTGCCCTGTGACACGTGTGAGCCAGTGGCCGCGTGTCTGCCACTGTCAGTAGTAGTAGAAGGTAACATATTATTGAACACTAACAACTATCAAATATTATTCAGCACTTCATTGGACAAACTGATAAACTCCCACATTGGCGAGGATCACAAGAAACTTCTAAAAAAAAAACTTTACTCCGAGGTAAAAAAATAAAGACTCGGCTCAAAGCATCTAGGCTTAAACAATATTTTTTTTTTTTTAAAAATTAACATTTCATCTATCATTCTCTTTATTTAGTCTTCCATCTCTTTCAATTCCGATTAACTTTATTCTTTGCATTCAACCTGGAAATAATAAACATTACTTAACCAAGATAGGTATTACACCTTAAAAAAATACTTACAATTTCTTAAATTATGTAGAAGAAAAATGAAACCGTGATGAATAAAGAAATAGAAATGTAAGCTAGATGCACTCTTAGGCAGACCGAAAGAAACCAAGAAATGTTGTAAAGCTAAATTCCATTTCAATTAATCTGGACATGCAGACAAAAAGTAACCCTTTTAATTCATTGAAACGGGAATTTATTTTGCGCAATTGAGTCAGTCTGTCGATCGTCAAAACATGTAGCCCAGTACATGTGTGTGTAGAGTCAAAAATAGCTCAATCGACAACCGGTAATTTAAGTCGGACACTCGGCGAGCACTTTTTCCTTGGCTGCATTTTTTAAAAGTACCTAAATAAAAAAATTAGGGTCATGGTATACCTGTTAAGGCAATTTTGAAAAGGATTTGAAATTCCTGCTTGCAAGCCACACTTTAACCAGATTGTGCCTTGCTATGACTAAAACTAAAATTTTAAAAATTCATTCATAATCTGTTTCCAACTGGTGTTATCAAAATTAAGTTCCATGGAAAAAAAAATTATTTCAATTTATTATTTCAAATAAATGTATTTGTTATGTTGAATCATTTAATTATACCTTTTCTTAATCTCAGAGGTGTAGACATGATTATATTCTATTAAAAAAAATTACATTTACATAATAGTAGAGATACATCAATGAGTATTGTGTCTTTCTTGGAGCAGGAATCGACCTGGAGTGCCAGAGACAGAACTACCTGCAGGTGCTTCTAGTGCAGGACGCGAGTCTCCCCGACAACTACAGCCAGCTGAAATGCAAGGGCCCGCTGGCCACCAGGAGCTGTCCCCCGGGGTCAGTTTGTGTGGACGACCTGAGAGGCGGCGGCACTTGCTGTTTGGGGAAGCTCCTGGATGACTTTGAAAAGCCAGGCACATGCCCCATCAATGAGGTAAACCTATAGGACGTACCTTAATTTTATGATTCAGCTGTGTTTCCCTGAATAGGTATGGACGAAATCAAGTCAACATCGGGATGACCCATCACTCGCACTTCGAGGTGTGCAAAGAAGAGTTGTTATAAGAACAGAGGAGCAACTGACCTTCATAGCAATTTATACATTGTCATTACTTTAAAAAAAAATAATTCTTTAATTATAGTTTAATATCTTGCATAAGTGACTTTAAAAAAAATCGAAGTTTTGCTTATGAGCTATTCTTATGAGCTATACTTATGAGGCCTTCTTATGACACATACTTATTAGTAATTCTTATGAGCTATACTTATGAGGCCTTCTTATGACACATACTTATTAGTACTTCTTATGAGCTATACTTATGAGCCAAGCGTATGACCTATACTTATGAGCTATACTTATGACCAATACTTATGGCCCTGAAACTAGTGCTCCATAGATGAGCTAGAAGAAAATAATCTCCATCCCTTAAAGTGTTTACCGACTCACAGCTAGCATTAGAAGGACTAGAAGTTCAATGGACACGAAAATGGCTAATGCCTTTGTGTGGACGTAATACAGGACATGAAGTTACATGGAGGCAGACAGGACCTTCAGTGGATCCCCGGGCACACGGTACTACCCCTAAATGAAAGAAATGACGTTTTTGCGAGGCTAGGGTCTAACCAGCTACCATCAAACCGGTGAATGGCCTAGCTGAGGTGGGGGGGGTGGGGTGCAACGTATAAATAAGACATCTTTCGAGAGGAATGATTGAAAAAGGGGGCACCTTGCCCATAAACTTTACCTGAACCACCACACCCAAAAAGGAAAAGGGAATCAGTGGTGGAGATTAAAACGTGAACCCCAAAGCCTCATCAACTTGATGAGAACAAAACACAGTCCTACTCGGAGCTATTATAACAGGGGTTGCATCCTCTCCAGGGACCCGAGTTGCCGTCACTGCAGACATGCGCCGGGGATAGGGGTGCACCTGCTAGCAGAGTGCCCGACAGCAGTAAGTGGAGGGGTCAGTGACACCCCGTACATCCACACAGATAGTCTGATTAACGACGATGTCCGAAAGATGCGGTACGCCTGTAAAGTGCCCGCCGGGATCATAAAAAAATCAACGGCTCGGCCACCCGAAAGAGAAAGTACTCTACACAAATCGTTTGTGTCTCAAAAATGCACTGAAAAGCAGTATCTCAGTCCAAACCCTTTATAATATTCTTTGCCCTTTTTTTTAATAAAGTTGTGAGGTATCGAGAAAGTTTAGAAACCCTGCGCTCTTGAATCCAGTGAAGCCTCGTGTTTGAATTTAGTTGTATCTTTCAACATACTGATCAGTTTATAGAAGATACTACTTTTCTTAAAACTTATGAACCAATATGTCCAAAATTATATGCATGTTTCACCCAATGTCCAAAAGTACAAGCCCGTTTCACCTAATCTCAAATTGTGCACGCAAGTTTCACCTAACGTCTAAAAGTACACGCCTGTTTCACCTAATGTCAAATTGTGCATGCAAGTTTCACCTAACGTCTAAAAGTACACGCCCGTTTCACCTAATGTCAAATTGTGCACGCAAGTTTCACCTAACGTCTAAAAGTACAAGACCGTTTCACCTAATGTCAAATTGTGCATGCAAGTTTCACCCAATGCCAAATAGTACACGACCGTTTCATCTAATGTCAAATTGTGCACGCAAGTTTCACCTAACGTCTAAAGGTATTTGACCGTTTCACCTAATGTCCAAATATTACACCCACGTTTCACCCACTTAACTATCATGATGATATATTAAAGCTTATATTAATCTTACATTTAAAAAATATTTTTGTAACAATTTTCTTCAAACAGCCAGGAGACGTCGGTGTTTGTGGTGGCGAGAGGTTCTGCGATAAAGACAGCCAGTGTCCAGGAAGTCAGAAATGTTGCGGAAGCCCGTGTGGTGGTAGTCTGTGCACCGACCCAGATACAGCGAGCCAGGGTCCAATCTGTCCAGGCGGATGTCCAAAAGGTTGGGACTAGTTGCGCTGCAAATATTTGGTTCTCAAAAAAATGGTCTTTCAAAAAAAAGATCTAACTTCGCTTACTAACTCTGCACCAAAATGAATTTTAATTATTAGGGGAAACATTACATATTTACTGTCTCTTGTTCACATACATATAACTGTTTATTTAGTTACTAGATTAAATGACCCGATGGTATCGGGAAAATTTCTGTAGATCGATTGCAATAATTTCTACCTGCTATTGCAAAATCTCATCACACTTCATAACTTTAAAAACACACTTCATAACTTTAAAAATAAGAATCTATTTAATAATATATTCGTTTCAAACATCCTTAAGTTTTGAGAAATATGTATCTGCCATATATCATACACGTACCCTAATCCCTTTTACGCTCCTAAATTACTTTTTTACATCTAAACATGATCTTAAAATACTCAGTATAAATTATCACTAATTATATAACTTTTGTCACTAAAGATGTTAATTGAGGGGCGATTTCTACCCTAGAAAAATAAATTAGATTTACCCTTTTCGTGCCCTTAATTTACAGTTTTTTCTTCTAAGAATTGGAAAAAAACATAACAATATGACATAAATATATGCAATTTGAAAGGAATTTGATATATTTATATCTTCATAAAAATGTAAACACACTTTTGCATTGTTTTTTTTTTTTAATTATACATTATCAGAAAATCGTAAAATAAAGAATTATTTTATTTAAAGAAGATTCTCGCAAAATTTGTCCACACCCATAACAGACTTGGGTGTCTTTTTTAAAATTTAAATTGTTAATCTCATAAAAATACACACCTCTTTATTTTTTGCAAAGTAAAAACAAAAATATATTTTCATTTTTTGAAAGTAAATATTAACCCATCTCTATTTTTTTAAATTAATTTTTCAAGTGTGTAAAATAATTGGATTTTGATATTCATGGTTGTACTTATATAAATGTAACCACGATCTGTTCACGCCATTGATTTTCTTAATTGGTAAACATATGTTTCTTTGTAAAAAGACAATGTAGCATCTCTTTTTCTTCACAAATGTAATACCATATGATTTAAACATATGGTCATCCACGTAAAAATGTACAGATCCTTTTTCCTACCTCCGATATGTATGTACCCAAGAAGGTTAATTATTTATCAATTCATTCCTTTATTTTGAGACGTATCTTGTGCTGCCTTGGGCAATAAATTAATAAGACACGAACAAATTGTGTCAATATAACAATACAAGCTACGCTTTAATAATAATTATACATTATACACAGGTCCAAATGAACATACCCACATTTGTAAAAAGAGAATATATGCGTGCACATATCCTATTTCCTACCTCTGATATGAATGTACCCAAGAAGGTTAATTATTGATCAAATTCATTCCTTTATATTGAGACGTATCTTGTGCTGCCTGGGGCAACGTGACCAACCCCTCCCCCACTCAGATTTAAATAAAATTTGAAAATCTTCCACCGGATTGTAGTCCCTTCCATACCCAAACTAAAATATTGTGCACTTCATATGGTTCGTTCGTATTTGTATGAGCCATAAGTAGATTAGTGAATGCTATTTGGCTATGGAGTTTCGCTGCCCTGATTGACTTAAACGGCATTTTCTTATTAGAAGTATATTTAAAGGTTAAGTTTTTAATATGTTATTAATTTGATAAAAGAATATTTTAATAATTAAAAAAGTATAACTTATTAAATTAAAAAAATATATAAAGCTAAAATGTGTGTGTGTTTTATTAACAATTTAAAGAGCAATCAATGAAATTTATTAATTTTACTTATAATTAGATGGAGTACTTTATCACTTTTCTTATGTGAGATTATTAAATCAAAGAAACTTAAGAGTTTAAACTACTATTGGTGATTCGCGCTATGACGTCATTTGTGTGTTTATTAAGAATACATTAATTTTAATTTTATTTTGCAATATTAACAACACACTAAAAACAACTGATGTTTGGTATTTCCTGATAAATGTGATTACGATGTAATTCTTAGATCATAATTTTATTATGACTTTTTTTCAAAACTTTTAAATTCGGATAAACTGCTTAAAATTGTTCCATTGTGTTACATGGACACTGGAGAAATGTAGCGGTTTCCTTTAATGATATTAAATCAAAATTGATTTGAAACTTGCCATGAGTTTTCGTAAAGCTTGCGTTTATTGATTAAAAATACAACTTTAAATGCATTTGTAATTTATAATAATAAACTTTTACTAAAATAAAAGTGGATTTAAAATATTTTTTGCGCATGTAAATTTATTCGATTGCCGTAAAATAATAGAAAAAACTATGATTGTTTTTAGGCATCCGAACGTACTTAAATATTATCGGTTCTTTGGCGTTAAGTCAGTATAGCTCATTCTTATATATATACCGGTAGTTGAAATAAAAAATTTAATTCTTTTTTTTTCCATTGATATTGAGATTGTATCCATTTGGTTTTGGTTCTTATTTGATTGAAACAGATTTTTCTTTGAGGATGTTTAAAAACTATAATTACTTCATCTGATCCCCCATAATTCGTTTACCTCAACTCATCTAACAAATTTCCTTTTTTATCGACGTTCATTATATCATGTGGTCAATTTTAAATCCCAACTCATAATAATTCTCTACCGACAGGTTACATTTGTGAATATAGGAATCCACCGTGTGAACCAGGGAGGTTTTGCCCTGAGTACGTCATACCCACGTGTGTTCTTCCAGTAAGTATCTCGTAAACCAGGAATTTTAAAGTGTATGCCGATACTCAGAACCACGTGTGTACTTCCGGTAGTTTCATGAAACAACACAACACACTTTTTGTAAACGTTGAATTAAATTGTATCTGATGCTCCTGAAACGACCTCATCCCTAAGAGGATAAGAACAACACTGACCTTACCTCTGAGAGAATAAAACCAACATTGACCTTAACCCTAAAGAGATTAAGACCAACATTGACCTTACCGCTCAGAGAATAAGACCAACATTGACCTTAACCCTAAGAGAATAAGAACAACAATGACCTTACTATTGAGAGAATAAGACCAACATTGACCTTACCCCTCAGAGAATAAAACTAACTTTGTTTTTTAAGAGAAAAGGACTCAATATTTTCGCGTTTAGATAATCGTTCATCAGATATAATTGGGTGAATTTTATTATATATGTTTAATGTGATTTAAAATAAATTAATCGAACATTATTTACAAAAGAAATGATGTTAAAAAAATAACGCTAACTGATAAATAAAGCTCAAAAATAGAAATTATGCTTAACATATTTTTTTTTAATTCTCCCAAAGACAGACGAATGCGGTGGGTGTCCTATTGGACAGACGTGTGAGCTACTGTTTCCATTGTGCACTCCGCCGTCACCCTGTGATAGCTTGGATCCAAGTGACTGTATCAAGCCAGTGTGTGAGCCCAGGCCGATCTGTGTGCCCGTTCAGACCACCCCAGCGCCGGTACGTGAGACGTGCATGTAGCGGTCACTGTTAACTTGTGTGCGCGTCTGAGATCTTAAATGCTGGGAAAATACTTCGGGGGGACATACACCCAAACGGTCTATGCAAAAAGCGATTGTTTTTTGTTGTTGTTGTTACATGGACACTGGAGAAATGTAGTGGTTTCCTTTAATGATATTAAATCAAAATTGATTTGAAACTTGCCATGAGTTTTCGTAAAGCTTGCGTTTATTGATTCAAAAAAAAACTAACTTCGTTGTTTGCTGTAGGTTGATGAATGTGGTGGTTGTCCCTGTGGAAAGAAGTGTGAGCTACTGTTTCCACCGTGCGCTCCGCCCAGACCTTGTGACAGCTTGGATCCGAGAGACTGTATCGCGCCAAATTGTAAACCCAGACCGACATGTGTGGATATCGAACCCACACCAGAACCGGTATGTGATGAACGTATACAAATTTAAATTTTAAAAAAAATAAAATTGTTCATAATTTAAGTTACCGCCTTCTGATGTTTGTTTAAGTTTGGTGTTGGGGAATAAATGAAAGGCCTAAACTGAAATTCTCCAGGGCAGCAACGAAAAAAAATTAAAGTTAGATTGAACAGTGAACAAGTGCATCTGCTACTTTTAATAACTTTATTATATCATTAAACTGACCAACCAAAATATTTTTTTTCTTTAAATTGGCATGATTTTGATTTTTTTTAAAAAATTGTTGAATATATTTATTGTTGATATTATTATCATGAGAAATAACAAAGATAAATGAACAAATCTTATATATTTATAAAAGGAAAATAATTGAAAGTGAGCATCTCAATTGATCAAATGTAAATCTTACGATTATTAACACTGCAATGTCTCCTTCATTTCCCGCTATTTATTTCCTTTAAATAATTATTTTAAAAAAAAAATTAAAAAATATAAAAAATTCCAGTACGGAACATAAGAACACATCAATGGTAGAACATGTTTTATTTTTATTTATTTTTAAATTTATAAGAAAATACAATCAATGGATTTCTTTTGAAAAAAATGACTTAACATTAGCAACACAATTATGAAGTGTGCCGAGATTCGAGTAGCTGGCGCAGTTGAAATGAAAGGATGCAGAAGCGTGGTAACACTATATCATATTGCACACCTTCAAATGTCATTTATGTACCCAAAAAAATACCAAGAATAAAATTTAACGTTCTCGAAAGATATTGATTGCAAAAAAAAAAAATAATCATAAATTTAAAAAATAAATGAAAAGCATTAATTTAAGAAAAGAACAAACTACAAAGTTTTTTTTTTCATAGGTTGACCTCTGCGGTGGATGTCGCAAAGGTGAAGTGTGTATAGACACTGGAATACGTTGTGTGACTGACCCGTGTCCAACGTTTCAATGTGTGGCCAACAACTCGTGTGGTGGCTGCCCGCCTGGTCAAGTATGCCAGAAGCTGTTCCCGCCATGTCTGCCGCCTAATTACTGCGATGAAATTTTAAAAAATGACCCCACTGCCCAGTGCACGGTACCAGAATGTAAACCAATTGACACGTGTGTCATTGACCCACAAGTAAGTACTCACTTAAATTTATCATAACTATTTATATAAATATGTTTTTTGTGGCATCCATCCATCACAACGGGATGATTGTGCAGACTTTTCAGGACAAAATCTGGAGTCTGTGACTTTTGTTATATCTGAGGATAAGCTGGCTTACTGGACAGAAAGCATCTGGAAAGCCCAAGGGAACATCATGTGTGGACGGTACAGATTGTCACCAGAAGCGTTGCATGAGTTTCTGGAATTTTCATTGTGTCAATGTCATACCGCCTACGGGACTCCACTACCGTTGTTTCAATTCAGAATTTTCCTTCTCTTGGATGCATTGCCGAGGCCTACTGGAGCATCAGATCGTGCATTTTGATGTTTCCTTACACACTTACTGTACCGACGGCGTGGTTGATTTTCTCCCCGATAACTTTTCCACTTTCCCTAATCCCTAGTGTCTGCTATTGTAAAGTTACAATGCAGGATGGTTGAAATGTATTCTAACCAGTTGGACAAAACCAAATATGGCTATAAAAAATGAAAACAAAAAGATTAACTTTAGGAAAAGAATACATAAAACATATGCTTTCCATAGACTGACCTTTGCGGCGGCTGCCCACCCGGTTCATCATGCCAACAAGTGTTCCCGACGTGTCAACAAAGTAACTCATGCGAAGAAATTCTACGAAAAGACCCCAATGCCAAATGTACAATTCAGGATTGTAGCCCAAGCTACACGTGTCTCAAAGACCCAGTAGTGAGTACACTCTTAATTTTGTTATATCGATATCCTAAATAGTATTGATGCGGGAATCCGTCCGTCATCATATGACAGTGGTGTAGACTTCGTAGGACCCAATCAGGAGGCCTGCAATTTTTTTTTCTTTCAAACGTTGGTTCCCTTGACAGCAAATTACCCCTCTCAAGCTTCTTGGTATCCCAAGGTAGTATCATGTGTGGGGGGTACAGCTTGTCACCAATAACGTTGCTTGAGTTGCCGGAATTATAATTCTGTCAGTGTCGCACCGCATAAGGGATTCCATCTCTGGTCTCGGATACAGATTCATTAGTTTCTTTAGTGGGTCGCCAATCCAAGGTCAACGAGCCCCACCCACCTAAGATATATTTATACTTCTGAATTTACCCGTGCTTCGCAATCGGGGGGGAGGGGGGGGGGGTTCGTTTTACTGATGGATTATTAAAAAAAAATTTTCTTTCTTTACATTATCGCAATTTAAATTGAGTAAAAGATGGACCATAAATGGAAAGCACTCACTACGGTTGGGAAAATGCGTGGATGGGGAGACGGTTAATGGTTCATTGGAAGTCTCGTCATCTTTGATAGTTTATCTGTGTTGATGTCACACAAATGTTTGATCTCCTGTGAGATGTTAAAAATTATGTTTAGCTCGTTTACTCCGATCTTTGTTTACTGTCAACTCTTGTTTAAATGTGCCGTTATTTTATTAATACGCAACATCCTCTATCGTCCATCCGCACAGAGAGTCTCATTCACTGTGGATCCCAAGTGTAATCTCTATTTACCTCATCTTTAAAGAAATGCCCTTTTATCTCAGAACGTTACATCTTGTCACGTTAATATCTTATTAGTACTACGGCAAAACGAGATAAAAAGAAAATTTATCCCCAATATCCATTATCCCTAACCATACTGGCTCCCACACACATTGACCACTGAGCTATGCTTCTCTGGTATGAAATTTGATATTTCTAGGAGGATGGAAAAAATTGCGTTTTTTTTATGGTCTTATAAAAATTAAACAAAACCAGCCACATTGAGGGACTCACAGGGTATTTACTTGTGCACTTCTTGACTGATCTAGGCATCTTGAAGGTAGCAGTCTAAGTCTTGACAAGTCGTGTCAAGTTTCTAGATTGGAATGGAATTGGTCCTTTAACTCAGGTCTTTTTTGTTTTTTAGTGATTGATCGATATATATATCGCTACACCTACTTTTTGAGTATATATATCAATAAATATATATTTTACATTGTTGGGTCTACCCTTCTAAGATATTTATATAATATGTTGTAAAAAGAATGTTTATAAAACTTTTGCAACACAATTATGAAGTGGGCAGAGGGTCAAGAAATGGGCGCAGTTGAAATTAAAGGATGCAGATGTAGTGGTTACGCCATATAACATTGCACATCTTTCAAAGACATTTCTATACAAACACCTACACTGTAAATTATAACCTTATTGAAAGATAATGATTGCTAAAAATAAATTTTTAAAAATAATATGAAGCACTTCTTTAAGAAAAAAGAATAAAAGAAAAATATTCCTCCATAGGTTGACCTCTGCGGTGGATGTGACATAGGTCAAGTGTGCATAGACACTGGCATACGTTGTGTCACCACCCCGTGTCCAACATTTCAATGTGTGGCCAACAACTCGTGTGGCGGCTGCCCGCCTGGTCAAAAATGCCAAACACTGTACCCGCCATGTCCGCCACCCCCTCGCTGTGATGAAGTTTTACGAAATGACCCCACTGCCAAGTGCACGGTACCAGAATGTAAACCAATCCACAAGTGTGTCAATGATCCAATGGTGAGTGTTCAACTTGATGGTGTCATAACCATAATTTTTGTGTGTGGCTCCTGTCCGTCACAATGTATCTAAGCTGTTGACTTCAGCAGGACGAAATCACAAAGCCTGGGATATTTTATCCATTTGGAGGGTAAGCTCTCTCCACGCATCTGGATAACCCAAGGGAATAGCATGAGTCAATGATACAGGTTAACTCCAGTAGCGTCGCATGAGCTCCAAATTCTATCTCCGGGTTTTACTTTAGAAATGGTCTTCTCCTAGATGAGTTGCCATTTATGTTTAACGAGTTCCAACCACCCGTGAACATGTTAAACTTGCAAAAATAATAATAATAATAACAAAGTTAATTTTTTTTTAAAATCGCGCTTCATCCCCAAAGGGTCGAAGCGCGATACAAAGTCAACCATATTAGAAGAGAAATGAAACAGTCTATATTTTACCTCATTAAGACACAAAACGCAACACTATAAAAACTACAAATGAGCATACCCGTTCAAAGTCTTTCATCCCTTTCAACTAACTATAAACAAGACAAGCCAATATGCTTCTAGAAGATAATAACTAGCTGGAGAAGATGGTAGACAACATCACCCCCAGGAGATGTTTGCGAAATAGATGTGTTTTCAAATCGGTTTTTTGAAGGATTCCAGTGTCAGGCTGTTTCTGAGCGCGACAGTAAAGGAGTTCCAAATTGTTGGGCCAGATAATGCGTAAGCGCAATCTGAACCACTCTGATTTGTATAAAAATGTGAGGAAAAATTGTTTTTAGGAATTGTGGTGATAACATCTTCTCTGGTATCAAGTTAGATATAAGATTTATTTAGACACTTCAATTTTAGTTGGCATCTTGACTGCATCAGTCTAAATGTTGACAAGTGTGAAGTATCCAGGTTGGAATGGAATGGGTCCAGTAATGTGGGTCTTTCTTGACATTGATCGTGAAACATTGCGCTACACTGGCGTTTATACTATGTGTATATAAATAGTGCTTGACAACTTTTCTTCCCCACTCAGTACTATTAATATGAAACATGTTGAGTAGGGGTATGTCCGATTGGGCAAAGGAAGAAGAACAAACCAGAAGCAAAAAAATATATTAGAGATATAGTCCGGTAAGAGAAATACCAGCGAGGCTAAGGATTTACCCTCCCCCCCCTTTCCCATTCCCAATCACACCCAACTTTTAACTCTAAACGTGATACAGACACAAAGCTGAAGAGAACAGTGTGCGACTCTACTTTATGTCAATTTTTTTTTGTTTAAATACCCAGTCATAATGAAAATTAAAAAAATTAAGGAAAGCTATTTTCTCAGGCAATAAATATTTCATACTTTTGATTTTTTTTTTTAAATAGTTTAATGAGGATTTATTTAGTATCTAATATGCATGTACTATTTGTCATGCATTTACTATTTAATATGCATTTACTATTTAATACGTATTTTCTATTTATACATTTATTTTTAATGTATTTACTTTTTTATATGTAGTTAATATTTAATAGCTCCTTAATATGCATCTACCATTTAATAGCTATTTAATGTGCCATTACTATGAAACATGCTTTTACTTCATATTTGTACTTTATTTTCATTATACTTACAGAGCACAGATCAATGCGGGGGTTGCCCCCCAGGACAGACCTGCCAGCCCAGGCAGATTTTTTGTAAAAAAAAACCCTGCCCCCAGTTTTCGTGCGTCCCTATTTTAATAGTCGACCCGCCCCCACCCTGCGACCTCAAGTGTCCGCCAAACGCGCTCTGTGAGTTGAAAGCGCCGAGATGTTCTCGGGACACGAGATGCTCCAGGGACCCCGTGCCCCAGTGCTCTCCGATTCAGCTGGCGTCGTGTCCCAAGTTCCCACCCACCCTTGAAAGCTGCCCCGTGTACAGGGAGAGGGACCTCTGTTCTGGAGATGCGGATTGCAACACGGCACTGAACCAGAGGTGTTGCCCCACAAGGTGCAACACGCGGGTCTGCACCACCGTGCCACGTCTCCCGTCTGGTGAATAGCCGTGTTGGTATTGTTGTTGTTGTTGCTGTTGTAGAGCTCAGCCTGTTCAACACTTTTTGTTTTCATAACATGTATTCGTTGGGTCTTGACCGATGGGCAGGAGGTATTCGATACGAACTGTCTGTAGCAGTGGAAGCATCACATACATTTGCAACATTTTTTGTGTGTAATTCTTATGTAATGTCAACTGCGAGACCTGGTAGTTGGGTGAACTTTATTTTAATTAAGTTATATTTTCATATGTATATAAAGTTGATATGTTTCATATGTTTTTATTTGAATTTTGCAGTTCTGAAACTAACTTCGCTAACTCAATTAAGATGATTTTGTTGTTGTTGTTCTAATGATTTCGTATTTTCCAACTTTAATCTACAACTGACTAGAATTATTTAAGTTTCGGTTGATTAGTTCATCATTAACAAAAACGATCTTTATAAAAGAAAAATTTGATAATTATTATAAATCGATTCAAATGTAAGAAAAGCAATAACCAGTCAATAACCAGTCGCCTAAAGTGCAACCTAATATTTCGAGGGGGAAAAAAATGTTAAGTCCCGTCTGTCTTCAAATGTTGGACCATCTTGAATATTTAGAATATGGGTTCTGTCATATCGGGTGGGAAATAAAAAATCGCTCGATATATTATTTCAATTTTATCAGCGTACTCATTATTTGACTTTAATGAACTGATGGCAATTACTATTTTGTACAAGATTTTGAAAGATATAAATGGAATATTGATGTATTTCATTCCATGTGTTGAAAAAATAGATGAGACATTAAAACCAGTCATTTAATGGAATAAACCTGATGTTTTTGTGTTTTTTTTAAAAAGTAAGAGTAATTTTATTCTTGATTTTAATTATAGAGGTACAATCCATTATTTAATTAAGAAGATGGGGGATGGGGTGGGGGTTGTTGGTCAGATTTGTAAACCTTATATATGTATATTCAAGTATGTATATTCTATAGTCAGAAATAGGGCCAGCTATTTTAAAATGCATACCATCATAAATTTCACTTCCAACAAGAATTGCGTGACTA